ACCGAATAATGCTTACTAGAATCTTCGATGCATGTTTTGCGCTGCGTTACCTTGCTACTCCCCGCAAGAAAATCTAGCAGACTGAAAAGCAGATAAGCAGCAGCAGACTCACAATTTAGCAAGTAAAAGAGTTCGACATTCTCAAATTCTTGTTTTTGTGATTGTGAGTCAGACATTGCCAATGTAATGTTCATACTGTACTTTACTATCACGCTTTCTTGAAATGTTCAAAAACATTCGAAAAACTCTGTTAGATTATCACAAAGAAGGTGTATTCGGCACGCCGCCCTGAGGCAGAGTAATGAGCTCTACGACTGACCGTTGCGGAAGGTATACACCCAACTGCAACGCCCAAACGATGGCCCAAAATTTGTGCAAGACAATAATTGTGATAAAAGAAAAAAAACTGGCTTGCTCCGCGCAGAAGAGAAAGGCTTTGAAGTTGCTCAAGAGGGCAACTTCAAAGCTTCCTGTTTCTGCGCGGAGTAAGCCAGGTAGTGTGTGTGTACGAAATTACTTGTAGTTCTTCGAAACCCTCTTCCTGCATAAGACAATGTAAACGTCGTCGTCTGCCATCATACGTCACGGTAAATTCCCATACAACTATCGCATATGATCTCTCGAGTGCTCATTATGCCTAACAAGGGAAAGATCCGAAGTCGAAATCGGCTTCCTACATGATTCATACATCGATGGAAAGAGCATCTAACGGTGATTTCAAATCCATCTATATTATCTGCCAAGCGCCTTTGAACGTCGAGTTATGAGTGCTTCTTTGCTCAAAGAATGGCACGCTTAACCGGAGCAAACTCTTCCATAATTGCGCAAATGGCCCAGCGTTAGATATTAGAGCGCTCTAATAAAAACTTTTGTCTAATATACTTGTACTCAACAATCCTTTATCTGAGCGCAAGGAAGCTCACAACCATTGATTTTGCCTGGATTTTGCTATCATTTTTCGCTGCAAAAAACATTCAAAACTCAGCCTATACAGGCGCTTAGCAAAAAACAAAGACAGTTTTGAAATCAGTGTTTGATGCTCTTCATACTGGTATCAACCTTATTTGAAAGGCGAATTCGACTATGGGTCCCCCCTGGTAAGAACATTCTTGTGCAAGGGCCAGATTTGAAAGACGTTGTTCTTCCTGCGCATGCTGGTGGTCCGAAACGAAAGCTGTAAAGCCAATAAAAAAGCCTGTTTCAGGCACGCGCCATACTTAATCCGCTTGATCCGCTTCATCCACTTCGCTATTGGTCAAATCAATGATTTGACCAGTAGTGAAGCGGATGTTTCACTTGATCCGCTTTATCCGCTTGATCGCTCAATCCACTTCGCCATTGGTCAATTAGCCGATTTGACCAATAGCGAAGTGGATGAAGCGGATGAAGCAGATGAAGTATGGCGCCTGCCTTAGGGCGTAAAAATGTGTCCCGCAAAACAGTCAACTCTCGGAAAGGAATCATCGATCTCAAAGTAGCGGAAGTTCAAATAATAATTTACCTCAAAACAAACTAATAAAATAGAAATTATATTACCATATTATAGATTGGAGTGTGTTATTTGTACGGGGCTGGATCTATTAATTACCCTTGTATCTCCGGCAATGTTTGCTACATCCTTCACCGCGATGAGGAAGA